ATCTAATCGCCATCGTGTTGTGTACACGCAAGACAAATCTGCAGAAGGTCTGCTGGAAAACAACTCCGGTACAAAACACACACACGGACACACACACACACCTTTAACTTAAAGCCAAAGTTTAAAACTAAAACCAGAGTGCAGCACAGAACTAAGAAATACAAAGGTGCAAATAAAACAATGATATAACCTGTTCAAATAGCAAATACAGGCGTGTCTCAGCAGTATTAAAACACAAAGCTCTTTTTAAAAACATTTGCATGTGTTTGCTGTGAGTTTTACAGCAAACAAGAGTTAAAAACAACAATCCAGTGCAGAACAGAGTCTGTGATCAGTTTCTAAAGCATCAGTATCAGCTGGTGTTAAATATTTGGTCTAACTACAGCTTAACACTTGATTTTATTGTGAAACAGCTGCTGGTATGATGGACGCTGCCATTGTTGTGGTCACCGCGTACACCGAGGCAGGACCAGCGCTTTGTTTCCATTTAACCAAGAAGCAGATGTGGAACATTGAAGCAGGCTGTGGTGATGCTGGTTTGACTTCATCAAGCTAAATAATGATCATAATAGTAACGGTTAAGATTTGTGTGTGTAATATCCAAGTTTGACATTTTTGCTTTTATGAAGCTTTGATGATTTATTTTCACACAGTCTCTGTACTTCAGTGCAGCTACTCTGGACTTTGTGAAGTTCACCTTCTGCACATCAAGTCAAACTGTCATGTCAGACAGTTAAAACAGTGGATATTTTTCAAAATTAACTCCTTTAAAAACAGCCTCACATATAATAATTTAGTAATTACACTTTCCACCTTTATCCAAAGCAGCAGAGCTTCAGTTCAGGACTGACAACATGATACAAAGTTTGTCGAGTTCAAACCTAACATCCAGCTCCTTTCCTGGAACATCTGCTTTTACTCAGGCTTCATGTGTGTGTGTAACACAACTGCTGTGGTCTCTGTTCAGGGGACTGAACTCCATGTTCTTTAACAACTTTTCTGAGTGGATTCTTTGTCAAAGCTCGG